AAGTCAAAGAGCTACGCCAGGGCAAGGACTGCAGCCTGCAGCGCCCCTGCATCCTGGGGGGCGTGCAGCCCCTTCCCACCTTGGAGGGGGGCGCAGAGGGGATGGGGTGCAATTGTTGCTTGCCCTGCTCAGCCTGGCTATGTGCTGTATTCCGTGCATGGGGAAGCATGCAGCGCCAGTCTGTGCCACGCAGCCTTAGGAAGTCAAAGAGCTACGCCAGGGCAAGGACTGCAGCCTGCAGCGCCCCTGCATCCTGGGGGGCGTGCAGCCCCTTCCCACCTTGGAGGGGGGCGCAGAGGGGATGGGGTGCAATTGTTGCTTGCCCTGCTCAGCCTGGCTATGTGCTGTATTCCGTGCATGGGGAAGCATGCAGCGCCAGTCTGTGCCACGCAGCCTTAGGAGGCAGCCCCGGAGCACCACACACGTCTTACCCCAGTGGGGCGGGGAGAGAGGATGCCCTCCCACCACCAGCCACTGTTGGAAGCAGGCTGGGGATAAGGGCACATGCATGTATGTACACAGCCCGAGGAGTGCTGCACATGGCACACGGGCATGCCTGCATGCACAAGGCACCTCCTGGCTACGTCTAGACTGGCATGATTTTGCGGAAATACTTTCAATGGAAAAGTTTTTCTGTTAAAAGTATTTCTGCAAAAGCGTGTCTAGATTGGCAAGGATGCTTTTGCGCAAAAAGTGCGCCCCGTGGCCAGTCTAGATGCGATTTTGCGCAAGAGAGCCCCGCTCGCCATTTTAGCCATCGGGGCTTTTTTGCGCAAAACAATTCTTCCCTGTCTACACTGGCCCTCTTGAGCAAGTATTCTTGCGCGAGAGGCCTTTTTCCCAAGTGGGAGCGTGAAAGTATTTGCGCAAGAAGCACTGATTTTGTACATTACAAAGTCAGTGCTCTTGCGCAAATTCAAGCGGCCAGTGTAGACAGCTGGCAAGTTTTTGTGCAAAAGCAGCTGCTTTTGTGCAAAATCTTGCCAGTCTAGATGCACCCCCTGTGGATAACACTGCCAGGTTTAGGTGTATGTGCGGCCCACGTGGAAGGCAAGGTTGCTCCAGGCCCCTCTCCTGCCCATGGGATCCCATTGTGGCCGGACTCTTCCTTTGCCTGCTTGTCCGTGGGATAGGGGTGGGGCAGGAGACATGGTGCCCTGGGCACCTGTGAGGCAGGGCCTTGCTCCTGGCCTTGCTCTGGCCTGAGGACTGTTGCTCGCAGCTCACAGAGGAGGACAAGATGTCAGGGATAATGTCTGCATGGATGACTGACCACCTCTCCCTCTTTATTCTCCATAGCTGGACCAACCATCACAGAGAGGCAAACGCCACCAGCCAAGGCAGCCGCCCAACCCCGGGGCAGCCACACACACAGGAGGATCCAGGAGGATCTCAAGGGTGTGTCTTGACTACAGGGTTTTTTGACAAAAGTCCACTGTTGTTGACAAAACTACATCTGCGTCTACGCTGCCGCTGAGTTCTGTCGACATAACGACAGAAGTCAGCAGTTTTGGCGACAGCTGTAAACCTCATTCTACAAGGAATAACGCCTTTTGTCGACAGAACTCTGTTGACAGAAGGCATTATTGCATCTACACTGTCATGTCGACAAAGAGGCTTGCTTTGTTGACAGAACTGGATGTAGTCTAGACGCTCTTTGTCGACAGAAGCTTTGTCGACAGTATCTGTCAACAACACTTCTGTCAACAAAAGCCTGTCGTCTAGACGTACCCCATGAGACAACACGTGGCCATCCTCCGGGACATGCAGCAAACCCTGGCACAGAAGATCCAGGATAGCGCCCAGTGGCAGAACCGAATCAGCTTGTGCAGCAGGGCGAAAACGTGTGTGCCCCCATCCATAAAATGATGACACACCCAGCTCCTGTCCCTGCACCTGCCCCCCCGCCATGCCTATGTCTCCGCCCACCCGCCTATTGTTCCAGGCCCCACCCACTAACGTTTGCCGAGGTTCCTGGATCTGAGACGGCACTTCCGGCTGCACTGTGCGCCACCCCATCCCTGAGCCCCCTCCTCCCTGCCCCTACCCAGGTTCTGAACCCCACTCCTCCCCAGTTACCTTTACTATGAAAAAAAAGTTCTTGGTTTTCACCTCAAAACTGGTGTCTTTATGGATTGTACAAGGAAGGGGGGAGGGAAGGGTTGTGGTGGGAAAGGCATGGGGGGTGGGGAGGGCTAGGCACAGGCCCATAGTGGGGTGGCCTGGGAGAGTCACGGGGGTCCTTGAGAGAAACTCTCCCTCAGGGCCTCCTGGATGAGCACCACCACCTGATGAGCCTGGCAGATTGCAGCTGTGTGCTGCAGCTCGCAGGCCCTTCCCTCCCAGCCACTTCTGCACCCCACGCTGGTAGGAAGGCCTCCCTCTCCCTCTCCACGATGTGGTGGAGAACACCACGCATGGAGACCACCTTGGGGATGTTATACTTCCCCACATTGAGGAGGGTCAGGAGGCACCTGGAATGCGCCCTTGGGCAGCTGAAGGCGCAGTTCAGCTGTATTCTGGCCCGGCTTAGGTGGGCATTGAGTTGGTCCCTGCTGGGGTCCAGGTGGCTGGTGTACAGCTTCATAAGCCACGGCATGAGGGGATAGGCCGCGTCCCCCATGATGCACAGTGGCATCTGCACGACCCCGACCCAAAAATCACACTGGGAAAAGAATGCGCCAGCCTCCAGCTTGTGGTGGAGGCTGAAATTCTTGAAACTGCGGGCATTGTGTGTCCTGCCCAACCACCCGACGAAAATGTCCATGAACTGTCCACGGTCGTCGACCAGGACCTGCAGGACCATCAAGAAATAGCCCCTGAGGTTGATGTATTGGGCAGCTTGATGATGTGGTGCACGGATTTGGAATATGGGTTCCATCGATGGCCTCTTCCCAGTTGGGGAATCCCAGGGTGGCAAATCCGGTGACAATAGGGTCCAGGTCTCCAAGGTGGATGACCCTGTGCAGCAGGACAGAGTTGATGGCCCTCACCACCTGCAGAAGGAGACAAAGAAACACACAAAACAGAGACTCAGAGGGAGACCCTGAGCTCTTGGGAAGTGCCCGCCCCCTTCCCTTCCCAAACACCCCAAGAGTCACCCCCTATGAGGCGGCCCCCACCCCACCCTGTGAGGGCGGGACGGTAGAAGCCCCTGGGGATGGAGCTTCCACCCCACTCCTGTATCCCCCACTCCTCTTTCCCGAGGTCCCCCTTTCCAGGGCACTCCCCCACCCCTCCAGGGCCTGCAGCCCAAGAGTGCCTTACCTCCGTGAGGAGGGCCCCAACAGTGGACTTTCCCACGCCAAACTGGTTGCCCATGGGCTGGTAACTGTCTGGGGTGACCCACTTCTCCAGGGGGATGGCGGGGCCACATCTGGGTGTCCCGTCATTGGAGGGCAGGGGCAAGCCAGGCACACAACGCTACATTTGGAAGTTTTGGAGCCACTGCTGGTCGTCCCACTGCTCCATCACCAGCCGGTCCCACCAGTTAGAACTGGTGTCCAGCCTCCAGAACCGTCTCACCACTGTGGGGTGCAGTTGCAAGGGCCTTGCTCCCACACACAGGGAGAGGGGCTCAACGATGAGCTTGGTGTCAAGCTTGTGCAGCCTGCAGAAACTGCAGCATGGCCGCGTGGGGCCATTGCACGCCCCCAGGCAGCTCCAACTCCAGGGCAAGGCGTATGCTGTGGAGTCCAAAAGCTGGGCAACCAGAGCACGCACTGCAAAAGCTTTGCTGTCCATCTCAGAGGTAGGCAAGCACGCAGAACAGAGGGGTTTTTCCAACAGTGGTAAACCTCTTTCTACAATGAAAAAGCCATTTTCCAAAAGAGCTCTTTCGGGAAAAGGCGTGTGTGGATGGGGAAGAGGGTTTTTTTTCCCCAAAAGAAGAAACCTTCAGGAAAAAACACATTACATCCACAGCAATCCGAATTTAAATGCAAGAATGAATGTGGATGCTATCTTTTGAAAAAGCACATCGCTTTTTCGTTATGCTTTTGCCATCTGGAGGTAACGGAAAACTTTTCTGTTAAAAGCATTTTTGAAAGAAGCTTGCAGCCTAGACGTAGCCTAGAACTGGAACTGGAACAGTCATACTGCAAGAGAGCGTCTATACTGGCATGTGCCTTTGCACAAAAGATTTGCTTTTGCACAAAAG